AAAAAAAAAAAAAAAAAAAAAAAAAGACCAAATTTCTACATTCATCTAAAACCAGCATGTATTTGTTGACTGTATACTTTGTGCAATGAATTTATGTATGACTGTGCTATAATGGAAACAAACAAAAGTATGTTTTCAGCGAGTTTAAATATATCAATGGAAGCACGCAAATGGTAAATATATAATTAAACAAACGTCATAATAAAGCTAGACTATAAAAATATTATTGGTTCTCCTCCTCTAGCAAAGTCATCCAGGGTTATTCTATTTTTCTTTTCATACTGACTTCTGTAATTCTGTAAGTCTCATTACTTCCAAAAACACTTTCAAACTGCTCCAGGATAATTCATAATCACAATGTGCCAATGCCAGAACAGAGCAACATGAAGATAAGAAAATTAAATGTACTCCAGATTCCTACTTACACACATAAGGTTAGCAGAAGCCAACAATACTTAAGAACTATCCACTCCTCACAATCCTACCTCCACCATTAACTGTTTTGATAAAGCAAATAAACCAAAGAAATTGCACATCACTGAACAACTTTCTGAAAAAACTTAACAAAATTAAGCTGGATGTGGTGGCCCACATCTTTTATCCCAGCACTCTTGGGAGGCTGGGACAGAGGATCACAAGTTCAAGCCCAGCCTGGGCAATTTAATTACTTAGTGAGACCCTATCTCAAAATTTTAAAAATGGGAGGCTAAGGCAGTCATCACCATGTGTCCTGAGGCCAGCCTGGATTACACAGTGAGTTCAAGGACAGCCTGAAATGCATAGCGAAACTGTCTCAAAAAAAAAAAAAAAAAAAATTGAAAAAGGCTGGTGATATAACTCAGTGTAAAGACTCCAGTTCAATTCTCAGCATCAAAAACAAAAATAAAAACAAAACAAAACACACCAAAAAAACCAATAAAAACTAATTAACCTAACTTTATTTTTTTTGTGTGAGGATCTTACTATATAGCCCAGGTTGATCTTGAACTTACAATTCTGCTTCAGCTTCTGGAGTGCTAGAAATACAACAGACTAAAGATTGTTTCTGATGTATTAACTGCTCTACCCCACCCACATGTAATCTGTTACCAAGAAATACTCATATAAAATAATTCAACTCTCCCAAGAGTACTTTGCTGTCTTCTTGAGGTCAATCTACAAGTGCAAAAGAATTCATTAAAGTTAAAAATAACAAGAGCTGGCCGGGGATTTAGCTCAGTGGTGCAGCTGCCTGCCTCATAAGTGTAAGTTTCCAAGTTCAATCCCCAGTACCCGCCCCCCAAAAAGTAAAAACACAGACACTATAAAGCCATTTAAAACAACAAAAAAGGGGGCTTCACAAATATCAATTAACATGTTAAATTCTCAATAAGAAGAAAGATTAGGAAGCTAATAATTATTATGTTCTACCACTTACCTTTAAGAATTTGCTATTCCCTACTAGAAGCCCAAAATCTCAGAGCCTTGAATAAAACCAAAAAATGAATTTGGTCTGAGGACCATTAATAAGAAAGATAAGAGGACAATTCTGTTTTGGGGTTTTTTTTTTTTGTTTTGTTTTGTTTTTTTGGTAACAGGGATCTAACTCAGGGCCTAGCACTTGGGAGGCAGGTGGCACCACTGAGCAAAATCCCCAGAGTACAATTCTGATTAACCAGCTCAAATTTTAAAATAAAGGATATAGTCTAAATATAACTAAAAAGCTTGGTGTGATGGTGCACGCCTGTAATCCCAGCACTTGGGAGGCTAAGGCAGGAGGACTGAAGATTGAGGATTGCTGTGAGTTCCCGGCCAGCCTGGTTACAAGGCCACCTGAACTACACAGAGAGACCCTGTCTCAAAAAAATAATAAATAAAAATAAAATAAAAATATATACAGATAGATATACACACATATGAAAATTAAAAGTAGTAAGACATATTAAATATAACACTGTTTTACATTTAAAAACTTGAATATCCCCAAACAAGTTAAATTGGCCACTATCGCAGGAAGGAGACTTCCAACCCTAAAAGAAAACACAGTAGCTGTCTCCTATCCAAGCAACAGATGGGGGTGGGGATCCTTTCCACAGACTAACACAAGATACATGATGATGATAATAATAATAGTAACAATAGTGACTGACTGCTAACAGGAATTGTTCTGATATGTTTTCAGTTAATTCTCGCAAAAACCCCATGAAATAAATGCAATATTTTCAAATTAAGAAACAACCACCACCGTCTGCCTCGCAAAAGAAACAACCATAATGACGCCAGCTAATAGCAAACTTAGTAAAAATTCCACATAAATACTTATATAAACCTGGTAGAGCCACAGCTAAAAATAAGACCCAGAAAATCAGATTCTAAAATTTCTGCAAACCTGGTAAAATGAAACATTTACAAACCATAGCAACATTGTGCAAAATCCTCTCCACATCTCCCATCTCTGTGTGATTCTTATCCGACAGACTCTTAGAGAGAGAAAAAGAGACCAGGCTCTATTTTAGCTTGCCATAGCACCTCATTTCTACTTTGACGTCAATCATCCCAGTTCTTTTCACTTAAACATCCCAATTACCAAACAAAATACATACAAAACAAACAACCCATCAACTTAAGAAATGTATCAGTTATGAAATGTATGTTTAATATTCTTATTACACTGTCAACTTGGGGCTCTAGAGCCAGACTGAAATCCTGGCTCCATGACTTTTTGACTTTGAGCAAGTTATGTTTCAGGTTTCTGAAAAACGGGAATAACAACAATGGAGTATATATACATAAAACACGGTGCTTACTGTGTACAGGTACTGTTTTAAGCCGTTTGCACAGATCTACTGACTCTTAATAGAGCAAACACTGTTCTTATGACCTCTTTACAAAAGAGGCACTGACAGGGCGGGGGATTTAGCTCAGTGGTGCCGCCACTTGCCTCGAAAGAGCGAAGTCCCGAGTTCGATCCCCAGTACCCCAAAAAATAAATGCAGAAAAAGGCACTGACAAGGTAATTAATTTGCCACGGTCACATGGCTAGTAAGTGAAAGAGCAAGATCCCCGTAAGACAGTTTATCTCTGGATTTATTACTGGGAATAAAATCATCATGTGTTTAGCTCAAAAGACTCCCCCAACCCTTTTTTTTTTTTTTTTTTTTTTT